GCTTCTATTCTCTTCGGCCTTGACGTGTTTATCGCAAGAGAAATTATGTTACGGTCATGAAATTGCTTCTTGCCATTTAATCTTTGATTAATCAATGGACTTTTTCTACATAATCACACTTTGAACAGATACAAAGATGTTCATCACATCTGAGTTGAAATTCAACACTTGTCAGATATTGTTTGCACATTGTTTTACACTTTTCAAGGTGTTATTTCCAAAAAAGTAAGTTTCCAAATTTATGAAACTGTCCTATATCTACTGGAGTTTGCTAGTAGTTTTGCATTGATCATTGAAATCCAGTCGGTGATTAGCGTGTAATTTTTTCATGATGAATTGTTAACAGAAATTTCTGAATATTATGCTTTTTTGAATATTTAGATTTTTAAAAATAGTTAGAATCGAGAAATGATATCGGGACAAAACAGAATTGAATAGTAATTATTTTTATTCAAGATGATTAACAAAAATTGAGTGGACAAAAAAGAAACAAGAAATAAAATTGCAAATTCAGCAATCAAAATTTATTCGATGGATTGATTTCATATAGTAGTACATTTAGAGTATTTTTATTTCGATAATTCAAGTCATGATTGTACACAAAGCAACTTGTTGAGCAACGTTCATAGTATAAATATTCATTTTTAAGGTACATATCTCGACGTTGTCCATGGTCTATAGGAATAGTCATGATTGTATTTATTTTTAATCCAGAAAGAATCGTATGATGATCTTAGTTCAGGTTGTGTATGAACAATATGATGACGGATAGCCGGTGGATTCGGTGGTTCGATTAAGCGATTATCGTAAGCCGAACTGTGGTAAGGGAGAAACATTGATTCGATTTGAGGTGTTATTGCTCGATGAGAACAAATCAAACACGATGTCAAGTATGTACTTTTACGTAAATCGTTTAAATCCCGTCGAATACTCTCGAGATCATGTCGAAATGAGTTGAAAACATCTTTTCGCGGAGTATTCATATCGTATACAGACACAGCATACATAATTCAGAAGTAGAAGAAAGAAAAAATCAACTTGAAGTGTCTCGCTTTTCTTTTGACGACGACATTATTTAAACAGTTTTGTTGTTTTTTCTCGTGACTACAAGGACCGACACAACGACAAGTCGTTTTTTGTAAAAAAAGAAAAAAAAAGGACGACTTTCTTTCTTCGTATGAGTTCTTTCTTCCTTTCATTGTCATCAGCGCATTAAAACTCAACTAAGGGATGTGAGACATTTTGTTAAAATGAAAACCCTCCAGTGTCGTATGCATTTATAGGGAGAGTCAGTGCTGGAATAGCGCTCGTGTGCATGAGTGAGAAAGTCAATACAAAGAAAGAAATTTGCATACAGATGAATTTTGTTTTTTCGTTAGTGTTCTGTCGATCTAATCACGTCGCATTTTTATTTAAAGACGACGTTTTTTTCTGAACGATCCTTATCGTTTAACACCAGACACAAATCGGATGATATGTGTAATCAATGAAACACAATGAGAATTCTTTTGTGAGTTTCCATACCCGATGGTTCTCAAGCAAAATGCAAATTACACAACTCACTAATTAAAATTATCATTAAGTCATCTTCATTGATGAATTGATTGGCAGTACGAATCATGAAATGAGTTCTTGTAGGCTGATTGGAAAAATTGTTGATACTAAATGACGATCGAGAAAATCTATATAGTTCATACTCTTCACAATTCCACTATTTTTTCATCTATCTTTTTTTTTAATAACCAGAACATGAAACTGAGAAATGAAATCTGAAACGAATCTATTGCATGGCAAGACATCTCCAATGAGGGAGTAAATAATAAATATCTTGTCAATGAACAAAATGAAACAGGATTTTTCTTTCCTATCATTTGCTGATCTCGTTGTATTTTAGAAAATCTTCTAAGTTTATGTCATCGATTCCATTGAAATACATGGACTAGTTATCGATTTTCTCTCTCATATTTAGACGGCATTTTTTAAGTGATTTGAAAGATCATTAAAAGCGTTCAAGTTCAATGGGGAAAAAGCGAGACTTCAAGAGTGCGCACTTCACTTGTACTTCATCATACTTCAAAAACCTGAAGTGTCACGTTTTTCCCTTTGGTTCGTACGGATATATTGCATATTTCGAGTTGTTCAAGGCGAAATGTTGTCCACACTGAATGTAGTGAATATGAGGCGAAAAAATGCAAATCAACTCTCGACTTTCTCCATGTATAAGAACAGATTGTTTCATTTAAAGTCAAATAAAAATGAATACGAATGATGCTCCATTCGAACACGAACATACATTGAGGATCTCTAGTGGCCACAATGATGTTGATCAAAAAGCTGAATAATTCGCAGTACTTTTACAGCTTTTTACAACAGTCTGAAGAAATGTTTCTTTGTCAGTGTTTTATTTCATGAAGCAAGGAATGCGTTCGATTGGTTCAAAGGATAGGTAAGATGTGTAGTACACTTAAATTCCGTCGTTCATCGATTCTTTCATAACGAAGATGATTATCAATAAAATCTCTCTTTCTCAAATACAGTAATAACTTGGTATAAGCAATTATGATATCGAAGCAGGATACGATATACCTATAGTACACTGCCCATATCCTACGAGATCAATGCTACGTATTCGTTAACTTCGTGTTCTCAGTCAATCTGCTTGATCGATTATTCTCTGAAGATTTTGAAGATACGACATTTTTCTTTATCGAAAATTGTAAAAATCTTCACGAATGCATGAAAACTAATTCGTTGTGTATGAATAGTTATAGTAGCGAGGTGAACAAACACTAGAGTAGCAGATAGACAGAAGTGCATTCCAACTTATATTTCTATATGTCAAGAAAAATATATACACTTTGGAAAGTCTTTACTATGAACTTTGGAGTCACTACATGAGTTTCATATTTTAGTTCTTCTAGAGACAAAGCTGGCAAGCTTTTCATTCATGCAGCAACGTATATCGACCTGTATGTTCATCTTTGCGTACTACATTGCTGTATAAACTATTCTGTTCTTCTATTATCGATAAAAAAAAAACTTCTTCACATACGATTGTCATCATATAGAAACCATCTGAAAGACAAGACCGAATGAAAAACTTGATCATTTTCCATGATACTAATAATTAATGATTTTTCAGTCTTATGTCAATCAGCTATTCTGTTTATCGAAACTTTATTTCATTATTTTGCAGAAGTTTAATCCTGTGGCTTTCGATCTAGGAAATCAACTAACACATTTACAATATAATTGTTCGTTGTCAAATTGAACGCGAACAGATGTTCAAAAGACAATTATTTGTCCCACACATTCGTTTATCTTTTTTCTCGGACAAATGTCTGGCAAGCTTTTGCCTGCTGGGACAATTTTAAATCAAATAATTAGCGTAAAGTAGAATTGTACTCTTCAGATATGAATTACCTGCGTATTAAACTTATTACAAGCGTCCAATAAATCCCTCGATATCTAAAGATATTTCGATTGAGACAAATTGGACATATTTTTGTAATTGTTTGATATATTATTTGATAGCATTCATGATTCCTACGTTATTATCAAAGAGCAAATTGAAAGCATTTCGGTATGGAAACAAAAATGATACTTCGCAATTCGATTGTATATGATGAATACGACGAGTTATTAAAGTTAATCTCATGAAAAATTGAAACATAGAAAATATATTAAAGATTAACGATGACGAAATGTTCATTCGATATGTCCCAATGATTCGGATGTCTAATACACTTTCGTATGTTTTATTATAGACTTTAATATTCATTCAATTTTGTCGATGTCAATATTTGCGCGTGACAGGGCATAGCTGAATCGTGCATATATCATCGCGAACGAGAAAAAAAGCATGTGTTTCAACGTCGCACATCTACATATTTGATAAGAAAAAAATAAGAAATAATGTATATTTCGATACGCACAGCAATGTTATGCATCATTAAATATGTATATTTATTAGAAACAGATGAAATATTAATTCGAAATTACACTTTGTCGATAGAACGATACGACGATGGATGTGTTTGAACAAGTTAATGACCGAGCAATAGTTCAGCCAAGAAGGGTAGCAATGGCAATTGACAGCATTGACTGCGAACGTATTTGCAGTGTTGAAAAGGTACCTCGTGAATTTTTTTGTCCGATCTGTTCGTGTCTTTTGTGGAAACCACATTCTTGTGGATTTTGCCAGAATTTATTCTGCGAGGCTTGCATTACTAAGTGGCTCCAAGTAAACAGTAAGTGTCCATACGGATGTGAAAGATACGAAGATAAACGTTGTTCACCAGCTGTTCGATGTCTTTTGTCCAATATATTGATTCAATGTCAAAGTTTTCAATTTGGTTGTACTGCTGTACTTTCCTATGATACTTTAGAAAAACATCAGATTGGCCAATGTATATATCCTTCTACTCGATGTCAGTATTGTGAGAGACTCATATTAATGATTGAAATCGAAGTTCATGAAAAACAATGTGGTCAACAACTTGGAAATTGTCCCACATGTAATTGCTTGATTGCCATGCGTCTATTACAACAACATCGAATGATATGTACGTTAATAAATATAGAACACAATTTACAAGCCCTCAATCAATTTCAGAACTTACCACAACCTACCTATGCGCTTGAGCCGAATTATCCAATGCAACACAATACACTTCCATTGGAAAATACATTTTATGTCACCACTCAACAGCAAGCAATTCAAGAACGATATCGTAATTTTGTTTGGTGGCGCCGTTTGTGGTCTTTAGTTTGTCTAATATTATCGAATCCACTTGACATTCCACACATATTCATGATAGTGTGGATGACTGGTTTCGGCATTATGTTGGGTTTTTCGATTACATGGATTTGCATCGCGTTCATTTATTGTTTCCGAAGGGTATGGATTGGTTGTTTCATCATTATTATTCTTACAGGACTGTTACACGCTGCCATGCCATTACTTTTTAACTTGATCGATGACACATCCATTATTGTACTCACTTCGATTTTTTATCTCATTTGTGGTTCTTTGTTTATTTATTGCAATGCTGACAAGTTGACTAGATCTATAGGTCAAGGAGAAGTTTTCTTTATATACATAAAAAGTTTCGTTGTGTGGAAGCTTGCATTATTACTTGTACGCTTTTATTTCCGATGGATTCCTGCTTACGTGACTGCAAGCGTTCTTTCATGTATAAGTATTTATATTGTTGCCACAGCTCGATACATGTTCTCACCCCAACTTCCTATTTAAACACGATGAGAGAGAAAATGTATGCACTTTTCTGTATAATTCGATTTTTTTGATTTTTTCAAAAAGTTTCTAATGAAAATAGATGTGAGATCGATCGGATTACTCTATTAAACAAGTTTCAGTCAATACTGAATAGTTCTTCATCAAGCCATTACTATATTGCACTGGGGCTGCTCAAGACAATGATATCGAAGGTGAATATTTCGACGATCTAGGACCCATATGTCATAGTGTAGGATGAGAAAGACTAGGATATTAAAGAATATTTCACCACTCTTATTTTTTTGGTAATAATAGTCACTAACGAATATGCTAGTCGGAACATTAATATAAAAAGAAATGTGAGAGACTTGGTAAAGTTTCACTGATTGGGTTCAAGATTGGGTGTGGTGTGAATGAAGGGTAGATTTACACTCGTACTCCATACCTCACTCACTCGCTCGAAGTTGATTTCAATTCGACTGTTAATGTCAAATCATCACAACCATCGGTATCGACACAAACTCAACTGAATAATATTCTATGCATCATAACAAATCAACGAGTAGTTCTATTGATTTCGAATTTCTTTTTATATGCAATAGGTACTTCATTGGACACAGTTGCTGGCGTAAGTATCAATAATACAGCTATTCTTAATTGCAATAGTGCTAATCATGTTGATTTATTTTATCTGCGAGCAGACTATTCTACTGGACAAGTTGATTCTTATCTTGCTCGTCTTCAAAAGAATGGGATTTGCCATTATCATTTGGCGAATAGGTGTGTTGGCTAACCACCTTCAGGAAACATTACCTCATGTGAATTAATCAGTGCTTGTTCATCGAAAATATTTCCTCCTTCAGCGAAAACTCAAACAGTGATTGAAATCGCCAAAGATGGCTTGGTCATTTATCATTCTTTCGCATGATCCGATTAATGTATTAGTTCAAGTATTGATACTTGTAATGAAATGTTTTACGAGAGCGATGGAAATCATGTTTATTTTGCTACCAACAAATTTCCCTACAAAACTGATTGTTTGGAACCAAGTAATTATTCTTCGTTTTAACTCACGTATGTTACTAATAGTCAATCATTGTATTCAATGTTTTGTTATGCATTTGCTTTGATTAAATAATAAATATTTTAATTTAATTAATTTATTCATTCTTCGATAAATGAATTATGGTTTTCAATAAATTTCTTTTCAGCAGGAAAATACAGATAATTCCTTAATGAAATGACTGTCTCTATATGCAGTTAAATAGTTATGCACTTAACAAACGATTCAATATTTGACAATATTTTTTTTCTCATTCAGATCATTTCAAAATGATTAGAATATAAGTTAACATGAATAAATGTAACATATCACTGCAGTCGAACAACGACTCAATGACAGATTCAACCAATCTTCTTAGATAAAATTTTACAAGTTTGAAAAAAAAAGAGAGAATTGGTTAAATATTTCAATACGAATCAAATTGTTCCTGTGTTCAATAGATATATGTGGCAAACTTTGATAAATCATACACTTGTTCACCTGCAATGCTTATACAAAGACTTGAATTCAATACATGACGAAATATATTTGTTTGACCATTTTCTCGAACATTAACACGAGTCACGAATATATATTGCCATGAGACAAACTTTCTAATTAAACGACAAATATCTCAGTTGAAAGGTTGAATTTCCCACATTGTGTGTTGAAAAAAATCTGGTTGTGGCTGTGACTAGACTTTTTTTTGAATGTCTCAAAAAATGACACGAACGTCCGGGAAATTGCTTAATAATGATATCAGTTGAGTATAGTCAATGTTGTATGATAACTTAGATGCGACGAATGTAATGCTTTTCTTCTACATCTGTCCAAATTCATTTATTCGAAAAATACAAAAACAATATCAGCCACTTTCAATAAACATGATAAGTAGAATAGTTTTGTATTGTATATCTTTACAGGTTACTACATTTTCAATTTTTCTATGGATCGCATTCCTTAAAAGAACAATCATATTTCGTAGATCTGACTTACTTGAAACATAATTTAGATAAAATATTAGTTAGTTTGGCTTTGATCTATAATAATCAATTTCGAATTTCAAATACAGAAAAGTTCTGGATTCGATATAGATTCGAATGGATCAAAATAAAATTTATAAGTCATTTGCTCGTAGACTGTAACTAGATTAAAATAACTGAGGATTTATCTAAACTGTATTTCAAGCAAGTCAGATCTATGAAATGTGATTTTTCCCTCAAAGGATACACAATGCAAAAACTAATCTTGCAAAACTGTGTAAAATTCGGGTGTGAGTGTGGGGGTGTGGGTGAGTGTGGGGTGTGGAGTGTGGGTGTGGGGCGTGGGTGTGGGCGTGGTTGACATATGGATGTTAAATCAAGTGACGCGCCATATTCACACCCACGCTCTGTTATCCTTCTTTTTCGAATATTATTTTTGAGGGTTATGAATTGACGAGTCATACAGCGGGATAGCGAATAGCGGCAAAATATTCCGAGAAACAACGTCAATCGTCTTGACGAACTCTCCTTCGTTGCCTTGATGAATAAATAAAAAACTCGCTCCGTTAATATTTTTCTTCATCGTGAATTGGAAGCCATCAAAAATATAATCATTTCAACACTTTCGAAAAAAAAACTATTTTTTTTAACACAATACTTGAATATTTATTGAGCTCATATATATCATCAATTTTTCTCGTCTTTCTTTCACACACACTTATTTGTGTTTCCTTTCAATCTTCATTTCAACGGCTGCGTTTGTTCGGAAGTATTGCCATTGAAATGATGTGGCGGATACTTTTCACGATTGCTTACTTGTGTTCGTTTCCTACGTGCAGTGAAATTAATGTAGATCTGATGACAACTATTTTGGTTATTTTTGTTGCCTAGACGTTACAATCAGATTTTCATCTGGTTGCATAGTTGATCAGTGCGATCCTAGCAGTCAAGGGGAGGTTGGTCCTCTTCAACAATCTGTTATCATTTTGAGACATCGAAAAATACTACATTATGTGCATCTCAAACATCCTGTTCATTATCTGATGCTTGCACGAGCACAAAAGCATGTGCATCGAATTTAACTGTGTGTATTATAAACAATTGTTATTCAGTACCCGTCTACATGCCTCTAGCATTGGCTAGTACATGTTCATCAACAAGTAATATGTCGACGATTTCCACAACTCGAACGCAAATAATAGATGTGTATACAGAATAACTCGACTCTCAATATGATTCCAAGAACATATGGATCATCGAGAAACAGTATTGTAACCGTCTTTTTCTTACGAACGATAATTCAACTCGCAAGTATTTGCGATTATCAAGCTAGTTTTCGACTAATATAAATCTTCAGACAAAAATAAACAGAATTCTATTGAAACTAGAATAAATTCTGTTGATAACAGTTCAGATGGGTGAGTGTGTGGGTGAACAAGGGTTGCCTTTTCTACTACTCACATTCACACCCTTCCATTATGTTTTACTTTTTAATCCTGTAAGAGTTCTGCTGCAAACAGTTTATTAAGTGTTTATTATCAGATGATAAATTACTTCATCACGGATTGTGGCTTTTGTTCTCTAACAAAGTATCAGGTAATATTTACCCAAATGCAATACAGGATGATACGTAAGAAATCCCGATACAGCTTTCGTCGATAAACGAAAGAATGTGGGTGTTGTTCTGATAGTGTGAATTCAGAGAAAGTCATACCAAGGTCTAGACCCATACCGACACCCTGGAGTGAGAAAATGCGAAAGGTTATCAATTAGAATGTTTTCTGCTGTTGGATGAGAATTTTACAGGCAAGTCATTCTCATTAGAGAGCAGAGTAGAGAATAATTATCTGCTGTATTCAACATTTGATAAGGATTTGTTTCATGACAGATCTAATTGCTTGTAGTCTCTTCTAGAATTAACAACGTCAACCAACAACACACTCGGCACGACCTCAACAACAACCACAGGTAACTTGATGTAACAAATGCTTTTTTTCCAGAAGTAGTGTGGCTCATAGATATTTTCGTTTCGGTGTCGTTCTAGTACCAATGTTTATTTAAATTACCCTGAGTCTCTCATCATCCCTCTCCAAGAACGAAGAATTACTTTCGCAAGCGTAAGAAGAACATAGTCATGAGCGCCTTGTTCAAAAGAATCTTCTTCACTTAAACTACCTAAGCCGATATCATCGGAGCGTTGCGACAATGTTCCAATATTCCATGAGTGTTCGACGGATCTTCTTCACGTTTTTGTACTAGGATGTCCAGCGAAAATGGTGTGACTGTAGCTCTGTGTATGCGTTAGGTGTAAACATGGACCGGTTCTTTACTCACACCCATATTCACATCCGCGCCGATACTCACACCAACACACCATGGTATCAATTTACCAGTTAAAACTACAAGTGGTGCATATCCACTGAAAAGAAGTGTACACAGAGAATTATGAGTAGTAACCATGTACACATGCACCAGTATGAAATTCGTAAGCAAAAAAATCATCGCTATTTAGCAGTGGTTTCGATTGCATTAAGCTGACTTAGAAAAAATCAAATACTGTTGAATCAGCTAAACGAGTAAATTTAACTGAGTACTTCAGTTAACTGGTGACTAATTAGTCACTTGAAAACTGCAGCTATGCATGTCTATAGCCCACTACGTTCGTATCTACACACACATACCTACTACAGCCACCATTACCCACACTCTCAACATGAATACATTCAAAAGGTTTTTCTAGCATGGTTTCGTACTTGCACGATGAATAATTCACGAGCTTACCACGGAGCATCCGTATTACCAAATGGAAAAGTGTTAGTTACTGGTGGATTTATTAGCAGTACTACTCTGAATACTACAGAGTTATATTAATTATCTGAAGATGATTGACAACCAGTAACTTTATGCTTATTGGTACACCCAATCTTGCCTTCAAACACTAGTTTGATAAAGAGAACAATAGGATGTTAATAAAAATAAATTGTTTCCTTCGATGCCGTTAGTAGCTTGTCATATATTTCAGAATATCTTCGTTTTTATATATTGGTTTGTTAAGCTTATTTTGGTTAAAATGCCTGATTTAATATGACGATTTTGATTTTCTGAAAGAATTTCATTAAATTTCTGATATACCTTCTTTAGAAAAGATCGATTTCCTTTAAATCAGTAATCAGCCTCCTTTCAATACTTTTTCCTATATGTGCTGACTAAAGTCTTGATATGTTCATCAAAGCTTTCAAAGCTTCTCCTTTACTATTGAGCACGGCTCGCACTTGCTCGACCAAACATTCGAAATTGCAGGTTATACAACCTTCATGTTAAAAAGGTTTGCAAAAGATGTTCGATCAATATTCTTCAACGTATAAGTAATAAACTAGAATAAGGATTTCATATTCTCTTCAGATATGTTCAAAATCTTGTGTCTTATTGTTGGTTCATTGAGAGCAAATCATTGATAGACGTCAAGGCATCAGGTTTATATAAAATGCTAAATGAAAAGGTAATAGTAAATATGTTTGCTCATTTTTCAAAAAACTATATATCATTGAAGAAGTTCAACAGCAATCAGTTATATCCAGTATTTGATACCCTTTCTTAGTACATATTCAGATTTTTTTCTTCATTGAAACTTGGTTAATTATAGGCAAGACTAGGCAGTTGATCTAAATACAAATGAAACAAACATTCACATTCACATCCGTACCCAGACACATTTACACCGTGCAGCATGCAGGAATTCTCGTTAATACGACTATATTGTTGGTTTTCTAGACAGAGAATCGAAACTAGAATTTCTGTATTTTTCGAAAATCACATTATCGAGAAAGTGGAAAATCGTTCAAAAATTCGTATGAGCATTTCTAGAATACCCTTTTTTTTTATAATATTTAATATATTTTGTAGTTTCTAGTTTATGGTCGCCATCGTCTGGTCACTAGCGTCCCATATTGTAGAGTTGTTCGAGATACTTGTGCCGTACACTTGAAACACTCGGTCAGTGCTTGATACGTGTAGTATATATGGACTGTAGTGTGCATATATGTTGTACGCCTGAGAAATCCGTATTTATCGATATAGGTATAAAAAGTTGTTTATCACATGAAAAATCAACAGAAATCCCGTTTGGTTGAGTATCAATGCTAGAATATCAAATTCATCAGACGTGGACAGGTCTTTCTTCCTTTATTGGCTTGCTTACGTGAGCAAATTTTTCTTTCTTTGTTCGCCTGCTTACGTGGACAGATTTTTCTTTTTGTTGGCTTGCTTACGTGTCATAGAACGATCATTCCGGACGTCAGTAGCAGCGTTGTGATTGATATTAAACGGGTATAAAATAACGCGTTTACTGGATTCACGTTCGCCCTATATTCTTCATAACCCGTCATCTTGATTTAAGAGCCGTTTTTCTTTAGCAAATTAGCATCGTCTCTCTCCATATATTCACCGTCCTTTAGGATAACGAAAAACAGCGGCATATTAGGATTGAATGACATCATTTTATATCATTTATTGCCATTTCCGGCGTCATTTTTGGGAGTCTCATGTATCGTTTTTTCGAATCATACTGATAATTTCATTTCCTTTCTAGAACATCCTTCTCGTTTTTTTCCATCTTTGTTCTGATTTAAACATGGTAAAAATTTTCATCAATTGTCCGAAAATCATTAATCTCTGTTCTATTTTTTTAAGACTTTGTGCTTTGATGGAAAGCGAAAATTATCCTTTCGTTCTGATCGTGTTAAATGTGTGGATATTCATCCAAATGAACTATGGATCTTAGCAACACTTTACAATGGTCATGTACATATCTACAATTATGATACTCAAGTAAAGTCGATCATTATATTTACTTAACACTTCTTCATCATGTTGATTTTATTTTCTAGAAATTAATAAAAACATTCGAAATATGTGATGTACCTGTCCGTACTGGTAAATTTGTCGCGCGAAAAAATTGGATTATTACTGCATCGGTAAGTATGATGTGCCATTTCAGCATCCAATCGGTTTCTTCTAGGATGATATGTTTGTTCGTATACACGATTACAATACATTGGAACGAGTACATCAATTTGAAGCGCATAGTGATTATATTCGTTCAATTATGGTTCATCCTACTCAATCCTGTATTTTGACTGGTAGTGGTATGTGAGAAAATATTGACCGGGTTCGATTTTTTTCAATCAGGTCTTTTGTCTAGATGATACGACGATTAAATTATGGAATTGGGATGCTCAATGGGCATTGAAACAAACTTTTAAAGGACACACTCATTATGTTATGCAAATAGCAATCAATCCAAAGGATGATAATAGTTTTGCTTCTGCTTCTCTTGATCGCACCATCAAGGTAGAATGACGATTGAATTGATGAATTTTTTAGTTGTTTCTTTTGTTCAATGGGAACGAATTAGGTCTGGCAGTTAGAATCTACTCAACCGGCTTTTACTTTAGAAGGCCATGAAAAAGGTGTTAATTGTGTGAATTATTGTTCGGATGGTGATAAACCATATGTAGTTTCCGGTGGTGATGACCATCTAGTTAAAATCTGGGATTATCAAGTAAGATACACTTATTTATTCATTGGTATCTTCGTTGATAAAGATACGTTCTATTTAAAACAGAACCAAGCTTGCGTAAAAACATTAGAAGGGCACTCACAAAATGTTGGTTGTGTGGCTTTTCATCCTGAATTACCAATTATTTTGAGTGGTTCAGAAGATGAAACAGTCAAATTATGGCGTTCGGATACTTATTGTCTCGAATCAACATTGAACTTTGGTCTTGGAAGATGTTGGACGATATCATGTTTGAAAGGCTCGAATAATGTAGCTCTTGGTTATGATGAAGGAACATTGATGGTTAAGGTAAAGAAGAAAATAAGTAGAACAGAGAAGCAATGCAATTTTATTGTTTTAGTTGGATCGAGAAGAACCGGTCATGTCAATGGATAAATCAAGAGATAAAATCGTTGATTGAGGAAAAGAATGCAAACTACATTTCAATATCATTGTTAATCATTCAAAAAATGAAGAGAACTTTATATGCTAATAAGATCGATCTTCTTGAATAATTGAATCAATAAATAATTTATCTTCATTTATTGTCATCAGAGAGTTCTATGAATAAGCACTGTTGCTTCTATCAATAAAGAAAGAAAAATAATCATTGCTGCATGTATGATATGTTTTCAATGAGAAAAAGTAAAGTAAGACATGAATCTTCAGCTTTGACAAGTTACAGATCTGAATAAATCATTAAGAGGAGGGGATATACCTCCTCAAGGTACCCAGCAGTGGACAATAATCTGATCGGTAGAAAAAAATGATCATTTTCAGCGGAAAAATGCTGTTCGGGTCAAAAATGAGATTTTATGAATCGGTCAAAATATCACACTCGTACGCAGTCAAGACAGCTGATCATCATGAATATCTTTCAAGAGGAAAAAAGCGAGATTTCATCTACTTAAAAAAGCAAGTGAAGTACGAATAAAATACAATGAAGTATAAATGAAGTACAAGTGAAGTACGCACTCTTGAAGTCTCGCATTTTCTCCCTTGATATATATATATATCAGAGTTGCCAGATGTTAAACTCGAAAATCCGAAAAGTTCCGAAATTTTTATTTTGAAACCCGGAAAGATTTCTGAGGGTCAGTTTTAACCGCTTGAAATGCATTTTACTCGTATAGATTATGAATAACGACATTCTTTATATCTAAAAAATGTATTTGAATAAAAAAACTACATATCAAAATATAGTTAATTCAATTCTAAGAACTTCTCAATTACACATCTCGCTCTTAATTTACACGTTGTTTTTAGTATAAATTGATTAAGACATTTCATTCATATTTCTTGACGTTTGTCTAATTTATATTCTTTTCGAAATCTGAATGCTCCTGTTCTATTCTCTTCATCATTTTCTTTGTTTTAAATCACTTTCAGTTGATGTTTGTTGTTCTCTTGGTAATAGTTCATTTTCTACTAAAATATCTGCCTCTTCTTTTTCATCAAACATTTTCAAAGTATAGCAGAAAAATAAATTCACAATACAAGTTATGGTTTTTTACTATCTTTGCTGAAAAAAAGAAAACCAATGAGTCTTCTAGGTAAGCCAACGGAAGACTACTCTATAAAACTCTATCGAATCAGTAATGATTAGTTTAGAATGTTAATCAACAGATAAAATATAATTGAGATAGAAAATATCCAAAATCTGGAAGATCTGGCAACACTAATGTATACATATACATATCAGCATATTTTCACTTTAGGAAAATGGAAAATCAGAGGAAAAATGAATTCATATTGAGGAACAATGACCAGGCAGAGAGAATGAGTATACCCATTGAAATAGTATTCAGAATTTATCATAAAACTATGGCTTGTATAAGCGTCTGGAACGAGAGATTGGTTGCTCCTCACAGAAAGCAGTATGACTTGAATGTTTCTTTGTTCATTCTTTTTGACAAGAAACGATGAGCTATGATGGTAGTGAATATTGATTGTAAGAATTAATATGCCTCACTTTCTAATTGGTCAATGAAAGTATCTTTTTCATCATGCCAACATGTTTGTCGTATGAGAACTCTTATTATCGTAAATTCTTAGAAGAGATCATCCTAATTTAACTTTTTTTTTTATCAAAATAGTTCTCCATAAGTGTTTGATTGTTCATAACTATTAAAAATATGACGCTTTTGCAGAATTATCGTAGCTGTTTGATTCAGTTCTATATTTGAACTGAAGCGCTAATTTAAAAAATATTTTAGGTTTTAAAAAAAACTCACAGCTATTGAAAAATATTTCCATTCTTGGAATGATTTTACCAGCTGATACGTTTCTAAAAGAATTTCGCACTTTCTTTTTCTTCTTGTTGTGCGCCTGACTGTTTAAAAGAAATTTTTTTTTTCTCAAGGGTTCTCAAATCTTTTGCCTAACTAAAATAAAATTTTATACTGCTAACTATCAATCCTTCTCAATATCAGCAATATTACTAAACCTAATATTGCGACAATCGAACCAGTGACGTGAATCCTTGATAGTTACATCCAGTTTTACCCGTCTCTTCTATAGTGTGCTTCATCTGAACAATTAACTGGTTAAAATAAATTGCAGATACGTATGCCAATGGTTACGAGAATTCATCAACTAGCGCTAGAATATCTTGAAACGGTGTTGTAGTTTGAATAGCTACTCCTAACAATATATTCGACGTGAAAAAATACCTGGCAAGTATTGATGTGGGAATTGGTATACCCATCTGAAAGTTGTAATCATTCTCCTGAACTAATGAATATTTTCCAAGAACATGGTCAGAGTTAGTTCAGAAGCTGGCTTTTGAGCGTCCCTTCCTAGTTCATTACAGCTGCGGATGTTACAAGTGAAGGAAAAATACTGGCTATCTCTCCTTTGTAACATGAAGGAGGGTAGCAGAGAGAAGTCGACAGTTAGTAGGTGTCTTTCTCTTGAGAGTGGTGATGAGGACAGTCTAGTCCCATTGCCATCCTTTTTAGGATGTTACTTTATCTTTAGTTTATAAAATAAACATAAACGAATTGTTTATTTTCAAAAATAAAGAGAAAATAAAGAATAAAGAAAGATTTTTTCAGTGATAAGTAAATAAAAAAATACATAACAGAACAACCGGATATGTTAATCAATATTCTTTCTTATCACCAACATCACTTCGACATGTGATATAATTAAAATATCAATCTTATACATAAGAAGTATACGCAAAAAACTGTTCTGTCTATTTTATTTCCATCTATAATATCATAACTTTCTGTGGATTACTTGGTAAAAATTAAAGAATAGGTTCTCATAAAAATGTTTCTTCATTATACATTTTACCTTTATTTTAGAACGATAGATAAGAACAAATCTTGATCTTTATTTTATACATATAAATATTTTATTTATCATCTTTATTTTTTCAATATACAGATTTATATTTTTTACTTATATTTATTTCTCAAATAAAAAGAATTTCTTTATCTTTGTCTTATAAAGTAGAGAATTTTATTTATATTTATCCTTTATTATAGATAATAATCAATATAAAATAACACCACTAATCCCTTCATATTTCGAATCCAGTTTTTCTGCACAAAATACTGCTAATCCCATTGGTTTAGTTCACATTATGCTTTCTTTATACACTTTCTATCCTGTTTCGAATCCATTTTCCTGATAAAAACTAGTATTATTACTATGGATCTTGTTTTCTTCTCTGGTAGAGTATCGACATAACTAATTAATTGTTGACGAAAGGATTTTTCTCATAGATTAAATCATTTTTTCATTCTTCAATATCATTTTTCCCATAGAAGGTAACATTCTTTCTATTGCTTTTTCATTTTCTCGCCGATCGTTCGCTTAAGTTTGTGTAACGTATTATATGCTGTTCCTTAGTTGAGCTGTCATCTACTGAAGAGGATCATTTTTTACCTGAAGGTCATAGTAGAGCCTAAAATATTCGTTTTTTGTTACCGATCAAAAAGTTGCCCAACCCTCCCCGGTTTTCTTTGATAGAGTTATGAGTTTCACAAGTTACATGATCTTTCGGACCTTCCGATCGCTGTAAAATTTGGAAAAGTTTTCTTAAGAAGAGTTCCTTCATAAGGATGTGGGGGCATGAGTATGGATGTGTATCTCATTCCGGAATTAATTCGCACCCACACCCATTGAGTTGCATTGTTTCTAAAAAATACATGGCAGGATGGATGCATATGGATGTGGATCATTAGAAGAGCATTCAAATCCACACCTACACCCGAATCAAAACCTTCATCGTACAGTGAGAAAGTGATAACTCAATATTTACAGCTGAGATTCTGGTGACGACTGGAAATTAGTCGGTTGGAAACATTCAGGCTCATACCATTTGATCGTTAAAACCATGGAAATCGTTAAAAACGAGCAAAATATGTCAGTTTTAGTACCGCGAAAGCTAATAGAAAACCAGTGAAAGCAAACGATTGTAAGGTTTCAACCGAGCCCGACCGGCCAGTTTCTAAATATAACCCCTATCAACATCATCCTTGTTCTACGTAAACATAATATTGATCTCGCTAATAACTTTGATTGATCCTACCACCAACAGAATTATACCAATATAAGCTTAGCGTGTAAATTCGAATATCTCTTTTCAATGCAAGAAAATAATTAAAATTCAGAATTTGTCAATCATAATTCTCCTCCGACACTGTTGAAAGCAATACCAATCCAGAGTTAAAACATTGATACTCATTGTCTTTAGAAAAAAACAAAAATATGAACAACATGACAACAGAAAAGAATCGAAAAATATTTTGATATGCTTCTATAAGCATATTGTCCGCTTATAGCGAATGATTACAAAGGCAAATGTTTTTTTTTTGTTTGGTGAACACGAAAAAATCCATTTGTAGAAACCTTAAGAGCGCAATGAAGAAAAAAGAAATAAAAGCAAGAGGCAACTGTTAATGCATATACTCTCACATACTCTAACAGTCATGCGAACGAATAAGATAACTTCTATTAAAGCTAATAAGAAGGCAACTTTTATCAAAACCAATACGAAGGCGATTCCTAATGTGCCATCAAAAACCAAACGATCACCGTACGATCTTTCTTGAACGAATCGACACTCGAATGATTCTTTTCCTTGTTCGTTTATCTAGCCGCCGCTCCGATCTACTGAAAGCAGTTTCACTCATTTTCTGTGTGGTAATTACTATAGCAGCCGGTGCAATTATTCCTGCTATTGTCGTATCTAAAATTCAGCAAACTACAACATCGACCGCGGTGACAGGAGGTCAATGCTTTCCTAATCATATTTTTTTTTCTCATGTTCAAAAATTTTTGCAGTGACATCAGCAACGGGATCAAATAATACCACGGTACATGAAAAGATATTCATCACAGTTTTCATCGAAAAGTTTTTTTTATAGAAATCAAATATATCA